CAGTAACATGTGGCTCTGTGCACTGGCAGCTTTGCACAGCCCCTGGGCGGGTCGCCGTGTCTCCTTACCTGTCACTGAGCGGCCCAAAGATCACAGATCCTAGGAGGAGCCCCACCATGTAGATGGACTGAGAGATATCATTCAGGTCCTTCCTGTCACACACCAGGTCAAACTGGAGGGAAGAAACACAGATGCTTTTGTTCTCTGCTGGCTTCAGATGCTTTCTGATCCCTCCTCCAAGGCTGTGGGTACCCGTAGTATGCACATAGCACACATGTCAGAGGTGGGACAAGCCAGAGAGGACCCAGGGGTGCCCCTCTCCCGAGCAGCAGGATCTGCAGGACTTCCCCCAGCCCAGGCATGTGCAGGGGAGCCTCCTGGTTGGCAAATTTTCGAGTGGGACAGAAGTCCCAGCAGTTTGCTTCTTCCTGGGCTGCCTGGCCTCCCAGCAGGAGAAGGATGAGTGTGACACCGACTCCTGGGCCAAGCAATTTCTGTTAAAGAGATGTTCTGCAGCTGCCAGCATGCAGAGGACATCTATAGGAAGGGTCACATAGGGGAGATCATGCACAGGAAATACATGATTGGCCAGAAGGCACTGAAAGAGGTTTAGCAGAGCTTGCTGGAGCACTGCTGGTGCTGCTGAAGCTCCTGCTGAGCATTAGAAAGCTTTGCAAGCTTTCCTCTCACCAAACCTGGCACCTCCGCACAGAGGGAGGAGTGGTGAGGAACTCAAACCATCCGCAACACCACAGAGCTGGAGCTGGGACATCGAGACCCCAGGGCAGACACGCCACAGCTGCTCGCCCTGCCAGATCCCCAGAGCAGGAACAAAGTGCTGAGCTCTGCCTTCACTCCCTGGCCAGGCTGTGTGAAGCACAAAGCTGCGCACAGGGTCAGCTGGAGGGTTACCTGCTGTCTGCAGAGCCGTAGCTGGGCCAGGGAGAACCAAAAGGTCCCACCACAAGTGATTAATCTCTCCATGGCCTTTGCCTCTGGTCCTGCTGGTAGCCCTATCACAGCCCATTTGCAAGACCACACCTAGGGGCTGGGTGGTGGAGCCAAGGTTCCCAAAACACACCAGATATAATTCTTGGCCCAGCTGCACCACAGCCAGCACCAGCCTTGACTGAACTGCAGGACGGGGTGGCTGTTCGGATGTCCCATCCTTTCCACACCCCCAGTGTGTCAAAAAAACTATTACAGACCTCGGTCAGCAGGGACGGTGGCTGATCTGCAGGGTACACCCAGCCACTGCGGCATTTCTCCGTGGCGTTCAGGCCGTACGTCACGATGGAGTCGAGGTCCCAGTCCACCGGCGAGTACATGGAGCACTGCTCGTACGTCCCGTCCGCATCGCGGGGCACGGTGAGGTTCAGCTGCTCTTCCTCCGTCAGGTTGGGGGCGATGGCAAGGATCCAGCTGGTGTTGCAGTGATGGGGCACATCATTCGGAACCATAAAAAGCTGGCAAAACTGGTGGAAAGCTAAACTGAGGCAGGGAAGCACGGTGAGAAGCACCAGCCGTTTCTGAAACGGCCCAAAATCACCAACCGCTTTCAAAATTTCCCCGACGCCTGACATTGGTAGCTTCATCTGGAATAGGACAGTGTAGAGACAGGCTTTCCAGAGGGCTGGAATTAATGTTTAAACCCAAGATAAGCTCTGCAGTCACAGGCAGCCACTACAAACATGTAAAGTCAGGATAGAATTTATGTCTGATGTTTCACCTGTCCTAAGTACACCATGTAATATATTAATTATCTCTGTGCCTCCCACAAACATATGGCGCTGGTTTGAACAGAAAAACCTCTGTTTCAGGAACCTGGGTCACTCCTCTGACAGGGCCGGGTGGCCTTGACAGGAAAAAGACTTTTCTGCAAAGCAACTGCAGGTGCTGCTGCATTTGCTGAACCACTGAGATAGTCCCAGTGGTTCCACTCAGGCAAGCAAGGTTCAGGGGGTTCAAAACAGCCCAGCGTGGTGCAGAGCTGAGTAAAGTCCAAGGGGAGTAAAGGGAGGGATGCTAATGGATGGGCAGAGCCGGGATCAAGGAAGGGTGGCCAGTTGGCTGTGTTCCCAGGTGACAGGAGATCCCATTTCCTTCATCTTTTGCAGCTTCCCTGTGCACCCACAAGCAAGCCACGCACGGGATGTCCAGCCCCGCCACCAGTTCTGGGCCATCCCACAGCCTGGTGGGGTCTACATGAAGACTTTCGGAAGGTATACGGGGGGGGAGAAATTGACACAGGGAAACGTTTCTTGAGGTAGGTTTGGCAAATCTCAGCTCAAATGCCTTCTCACTTTAAAATGATCACTGAGAACATGAAAACAACTCGGTTCCACCCATCCCTGATGCAAGAACAGCACCTGCCTGGAGGCCCTTTGGGATGTCCCTGAGGCAAAGCCTCCAGAAGTGCCCATAAGCAACTTGGATGCTCCTTCTCCTTCCCACAGATCCGCAGGAAGAGCATGGTATGAGCACGATGGAAACAAGCCCACGGCTGCCCCAGCTGGGGGGACCAGGGCACCCACGGAGGTCCCGTTTGGAGGTGCACCAGCCTTCCAGGCAGCCAGAGGACAGAGGCTGCCCTTGGCATAAGCTCAGCTCAGCAGCCACAAGCAGAGAACACCAAAATCAGAGAAAAGCAGGCAGACACCGAACCAGGCAGAGGTGCTGGTGGACACAAATTTGGTCTGCTCAAGTCAACTAGGAAACTCCGATGGAGGATGAAAGGGAGGTGTCCATTTGCCTTGGGCTCTGCTTCATCAGCAGATGGGGCAGGCCAAACCTTGCTAAAAGCAGAATCACGCATGTCCATGTGCTCAGGAGCTTTTCCCTACCTCCAGAGGACCACCCTAAAATCCCGGCTCCATTTCTGCACAGAACTCCTGCAGAGCATCCTCACCCCGAGGGTGCAGAACCTCCCACCGCCCCCAAAAAAGCCCCAGGGGTTGCAGACACCACTCGGATAAACCTCTTCCCCAAGATCCACCGCCCGACCCAATCCCACATAAACCACACAAGCACGTGGCAATGGACAATTTGTTCTTTATTGATTAAAAATTAGAGACATGCAGTAAAATACAAAGTCCAAAAAAAAGGGGGGAAAAAAAGCCTGAATATTTTACACCTTTCATTATAATCTACAATACACCGAAGTTGTGAGGAGGATCCGTTTTCATTAACAGAGCATTGTCCTTAAAAGTAGGAACTAACTTAAAATTACCACCTGCTTCCAGGTTCAGATCAGAAATTTGCACAAACCCCAAAATTTTCTTAATGACACTGGAAAACAATTATGAACAGCATTGGCACTTACTGGAACAACATCAGAAAAGACAGTTATCTAGAACTGTAATAGCCCAAGTAAATATTTTTGGATCCCTACCCAAAACATGTGGAGCTCTATAGAACAAAAAACCACCAGTTTCTTCCTTACTTATTTTCTCTATTAAAGAACTAAGGACCCTCGGGTCAGTGTGAGCTCAAGCTCTCTAAAGTCCTGGCTTTGGGAAGGTAGGGAATAGCTTAATAAATAGATGCTGCATTGTTCTGTTTGAGCAGTTTGAGTCCTGACTTTCTCAGCACCAGTACACAAATGAACAAGGAGGGCCCCATGGCAGAAGGGAAAATAATACTGCACCAAGGCTGCCTTGTCTCCGTATCTGAAGGGTTTTCCAACACATCCGTATTGACCACAGGGCGACAAGAAAATTGAGATGCCAGCCTGCTCTTCCCAAGCCAAGAACCCCAACGGGGAACACCGTACTCAGACAAAAGGAGAAGGTGCCAGAGGTGCCACACGCACGTGCACACACACACTTGGCCCAGCTGAGCCACCACCAACTCCCTGGTATCGGGAATCTGCCTCCCAGGCTCTTGAGAGCTTCCGCTCAGCACCCTGGGATGCTCTCGCTCCCCAAACCTCTTCTCCTGTCCCTCCTCTTCATGCTCACCAGCCATGGGGCTCCAAATAGCCCATGGGGACATACCCAATATCCACCCAGAGGCTAGAAGCAACAAGGGCGGTATAAAAAGAACATGCGTAACTCAGGAAGCTTCCAGAGCTGCTCATAGAGACCAGTATCTAAACACAGATTGTTCATCTGAAGACTTGAAAGAAAAAAAAAAGTCCTAATTGAACCCGGTCGTTCCGCTTTAACACTCTGTTTCTGCATTGTCTGTGGCTGATGGAAACCAAACCCGTTTCCATCTGCGTGTTAAATCACAGGCTTACAATTTCTGTGTAGAAAACACTCCAGAGCCAATAGCAGTTACAAAGGCCAACTGTGAAACAGTAGGAAAAACATAAAAATCAACACCATTTATTATTCACATATTGCATTACAAGTGTCTCTTATCAAACGCAGAGTATAATTTATATTATTCATGTAGAAACTCAACTTCAACACCACACAGAAATAAAAGCTAGCTACGTGTGTGACAGGGTTTCGGTGACATCCCGATCAAGCGCCGAGGCTCGGACCGACGCGGAAGCCGACGACCCAAGCGGTCAGTGCAGGAGGGACACGACCCGGCGCTCGCTTGCCACCCGCCCCGGCGTTCGCTTGCCCAGTTCTACCACTCTACTGGCGATTCTTTATTGCTGTAAAACACGACAGGGGTGGTTCCACGGGTACCAGTTTGCAAAGGGCTGGGAAACACGTCGGGAGGACTCGCGCCGCCAGGCAGAACAGGTTGGGTTTCAGCAACAGGTTGAAGTGCATCTTTTCCAAACGCAGAGCGACACAGATCTCCCCTCCCTCCGACCGCGAATGTTTTGTTGATCGTCTGAAAGACCAGTTTCCAGACAGACAGCAACGCCTCACTGGTCTGCTTCGAGACCAGACTACATCTAAGATGCAGAATGAAAGATGTTTTGAGGAAGGACTGCTTAACGTAAATTAAGAGGTTCAGCCCTCATGCCATGCCTGGCACTCATGTGGAGAGAACCAAAATGGTAAAAGTAAAAAAGAAAAAAATAAAATAAAATTAAGGCAGTTTACAAAGCGAAGATGACTTCTAACACCTCAAAGTCAAGGAACTTCTCAAAAACACAAACACAAGGGAAGGTGGCTCTCCCTCCCGTGGGTTAAGACTTGGCTTGCTTTCTCAGGTGCAAGCATTCAAACCAGCAGTTTTAAACACAGCGGAAGAGAAGCAGATTTCTCAGCACTCCAGGTGACCCAAACGACATGTACATTGGTGTTTCAGATAGAAGGAGAAGCAGGTAAAGAACTAAAAAGATCCGTTCGGTATTAAAACTTGTGCAAAAATAGCAAGTGAAAAAAAATGAAACCACATGTAAGCAAACATTTAGGCAAGATCATCAGAGCAGTGGAACCCCCTGCTTCGTACTCAGTAGTATTTTTCTTTAAAGTAAGGCAATAATCAAATGAACATGCAGGCAATGACGTGTTGGATCTGCATGTCTGAGATGACAGATACAAAAACATGAGAGTTGTTTACAAAAGGTGTAAACGCCATCGGGAATTTCAGGAAGGTTTGTGATCCTATTAAGGAAAATGTTAAAGCTTCTAGGAAGGGGGCTGTAGTTCAATTCTTTGGCAGTAGTGGTTGGTTTTTTTCTTCTTTTTCTTTTTTAAGCTAACAGAAGCGTTACAAATATGCACATGTGGGTTCTCAGTTGGGAAACATCTCCTGGGACCATGGTTTAGCTGATGCTGAGCTGTGCAAATCCTATAAGTTTGCCATCATCGGGAATATCTGAGCCTTCGACGCCAGATGCCTGAAACACAAGGAACAAGAGATCCAAATAGCGACACACACGCTCTCCCCTCCAACACACACCATACAACAAGGTGTAGCAGATACGGCCTGGGGAGGGAGCAGCCACAGGACAGCTTTGCACCGTATTCAGCATCTCGAACCACCCAAAGTTAAAATTGAGCAGGTTGCCTTTGTTTTTGAAGCTAGGAAGGGCTGGGACTGAAGTTTTGCCAATGTTGGCTCTGTCTAGGACTATGTGCACTAACTGAGGCAAAATAAGAGAAAACTCTTTACAGGAAGAGCCAAAAAATAACAGCACTTACCGCTTCGCTACCAATAAACTGGTTACACCTTTGCTCTGCCCCTAAAACTACCTGTGAATTTCAGTACCTTTGAAGGACTGACCTGCTGTTCTTTATCCTCTCCCAGCCAATCTTCTCTTCATTTTAGCTCTCTTCTTTTGCACCCTACTCTTTCTTTATTTTTCCCTTACTCAGAGTCAATATGCAGACCCTCCTCCTCCTCCAAGTAAGGAGCCCGTAGCATTTCTCAGCCCACTTACCTGCCCTGAAGTATTTCTGCCTTTCCTGGGCATGTGTACATTCCAAGCCCAGAAAACACCCTTTTCTAACAATTTTGATGTGCTTACCAGCCAGGGTAAGGGAATGTTTGTATCAGCACATCATCTCACACTTATTTACCCCAGGTGCTGCTCAGAGGACACAAGCAGGGAGCCTGCATTGCCTACTGTTAGGCAGTCAGTAGGAAGCTTTGGGAAAGAAGGGAGGATTTGGAGTGCAGACATCAAATGCCTACAGTAGACATCCCAGGCACCCATATGCAATGTCTCCTCTTTGCAAGTGACAACTTGTTCAATTAGGGAACAGGAATAAATACCAGTTTGAAAGTGACGGATCTGTTTGCTTGGGGCTCTTCCACAATTTTCTGCAAATTAGCTGCAACTGAAATCACACACACACACAAAGAAAACGGGCAAATATTAGGACAGGCTAGAGAAAAAAAACCAACCCAAACTCATTAGGCTTCTTCCTATTATTCGGTGAACTTAGAAATTTTTAAATTATAAGAATGTTTAGGTCTCAGACTCAATTTACTCAAATCTAAATGAAAATGCTGTCATTCGTTACTATACTTTTTCAGAGGTAGTTATGTTTGCTCGGATGCTGTGGGATTATAACTAATAAACTGCCCAACTGCACCTGGGAATCCAGTTAATTTTGCACTAGCAGCCTCTCCAGCTGTTGCAGCCTGCGTATAAGGAACAGTTTTGCTTGGTGTAGTCAAAATATATAGGCAGTGCTGACAATTTAAGAGTCTCACCTGCTGCAGAGAAGGACACATTTACTTAACAAACTGTTGCTAGAGGTAGCTGATTGTCTAGTTGTTCATACCTGTACAAAATGAGCACCTCAACACTCCCTTCCCCAGCCCTACTTAAAACAAAAAAGCGTGGCTGATTCCAGTCCCAGACCTCTCTTGCACAGGACCTGTGAGCAGCACAGGCTCGTGCAGCAATCCGGCAACGATGTCAGATGATAACGATTTAAGCTAATACATTGATTAGCCTTCATTTTGCAATCCAAGGAACGTTTGCTTCATCGCATTTCCAACTAGACTGTAGTTCTTGTGGACTTGGGGTTGCCCAAATGTACTGGCACAGAACTGTCACCAGAATTAGGAGCAGTTTTGTAAGGCCACTAGGGTAAAGAACCAAGACCACAGCAAACTCTCCTAGTACCCACTAATCAGGTCATTAAAAAATGGTTGAAATGGTTAGAATAGGAAAAAAATAATACATGTTTACCTATTACCAGATCTCTGCCATCAACAAGACCTGCAGAAATGAGTTCTTGAGACACACCGTCAGCAGTATCTGTGGGGCAGAAACCCAAAAGCCAGTCACCACACAGCAGAAGTTGCCCAGGTGATGAAGGCATCACACAGAAACCCAAAGGGGCTCGTACAAACCAAACAGCAAAAGCATTAACACAAGACTGATACGAGGGCGTACGCCACGTGCAGTCGCACAGCTCCGAGCTACGCTGTCAAACTTGGAGTTGGAATTCATCAAAGAGCTGCACTTTGGTCACACCCATGAACAGTTTTACAAGAAGGAGCTTCTCAGCAGCAGTGCTCCAAGCCCAACCAGAAGGCAAGCCCTTTGGAGGGCAGCGTGGACACTCACACAGGGTTTCCATACACACAGCAGCAAACACAAAACTTCCCCTTAAACAAATCCACCTCCCAGCACTGCAATATCCCACCAGCTCACCTCTCCCTGGGGTAAACTCAAATCGAATATCATTGAGCTCTTTTTTTGAATTCCTGTGGAGAGAAGAGGATTTTTATATAGAAGAGACCATTTCAGGGCACTGATTGGTGTCCAAAAGAAAGCGCTGTCATTAAACAATCAGCCTGTGAGGTGAATCCACCACACCCTTGCCCCTCAAAGGGCAGAAACTTATCACTGGGGGCTCTCAGCAGGGACTGCCTTCCAGCCTGACATGGGGCCTGAGCGGGCTGAAGCCCAGGATAAGGGAGTGCCACCTCTCTGGTGTAAGGCCATGATGTTCCACTGTCTCAGCACCTCCTATCTGTCAGAAGGTATCTCCTTGGAGGACATCCTTCCGCAGAAAGAAGCACTCGCTGACTGCAAACGCACACACGCTGCGCGACTGCCCGGCAGTGACTGGGAGGCGATGCTGCTCAGAAGTCCCAACCCAACGCCTATCAACAGCAATACGTGTAATGATAGTAAAGAGCACTTACAATCCTTCTTCCGTCTGTTTGTAGGGACTTAGACTAGAATTCACACATGGGTAAAAGCTCTTCACTCTCAGAACTGGCTCAAGTGTGACAAGGTGACTGAATTTTAAGATGGTCCAGTGCTAGGTCTGAACCACTGGACCTCTGCTCCCCTTTAGAGAATCCAGCTTATTTCTCTCCCTTAAGAGTTTAGGGATATTTATGCAAATATCAAAATCTCTTTCAATCTACAGCTCTGGCCAAACTGAAGAAGTGGATGAGATAAACTGCTTTTCTGGGTCCCAGCCGCAGAAGAGCCAACGAAATCCAAGCTGGCAAACAACATAAACCCACTACTCTTTTTAACTGAAAGACAGATGGCAAGATGTACTACAGGAGTCTTCCAGTGTCCCTCTCTACAGAGGCTCACTTTGACAAACTGGTCACTTTTTGTGTCCTTACCTTAACCTTAGTACAAGGCTGATGGGGACTTTTGTATCTTCCTGTACCGGAGCTGCAGCAGGGGCAGGTGGGGCCTGCAAGAGGATCACATCATTTTAAGGGAGGTTAACACTTCCTTTCTCTGGTTTTAAAAACAGAGATAACCTTGAACCAAAGTTGAACTTGTCACTGGAATCATGGCACTATAGTGAAAAAGAAGACAGACTACTGAAGCAAGAGGACTTCATGCTTAAACAGCAACCCAGGAGCTTCTCCCTGCAATCGTCTTGAAAAAGAGTAAAAGCTACACAGCTTTGAGAAACGCCACATGTAAAAAGACTGGGTCCTGCATCAAAACTTAAGGTTTTGGGGCATTCAAGACAGCTTCAAGACTTCCTGTGTTTCAATCCTTGTCCCAATATCTGATTTTAAAACCTCATGGAATTGTGAAAAATACCTAGGAAATAATTTAATTGGCAGATTAGCACATACTCTCAGTTACCTGTGTGTGAAATCTAAGGCTTTAAAGACCACCTAGCACCAATTTTAAAGCCGCCTATTTTCACTTTTGAACTACTTCTGAGCAATTACTGGACTATGCAATCAAAGTATTTTATCTTGGCCAGCATCTGGCTTCCTGTAGGAAAGATCCAGAAGGTGTCCATCTTTACAGCTCTGGTGAAACTTCCTGTAAAGGGATGATCGTTAATCAATTTCAAAAAAAAACCAAAAAACCCACAAACAAAACGAAACCAAACCAAAACCAGAAGGGTTGGTCACTGTTCCACTGTGCAAGCCATCTGTACTGCACATGCTGAGGCAGGGATTTTAGATCTCCAGTAACAAGACAGATGCAACGCTAGGCTGATAATTTAAGTCTAGAAGTCTTGATCAAAGTTTTTGATCTAGATCACCTGCCTTCTCACGAGACAAAAAAAAAAATTGCTTTGTTTAAGACTAGTATCTTATTCCATCTGTTGTGCTCTTGTGGCAGCAATGCAGCTCAGGGCTTCTGATCGCAATCTTGTTTCTTTTGAACCTGAGAACTTTACCAGGTCAGTGAAAACAAACAAGAGTTCATAGAGAAGCCCTGAGGTCTGCAAAACAGTAACCAACAAGCTACAAGAACCAGGAGAGCTATAAAGAGGAACACACTGATACAAGGAGCTATAAAGAAGAATGTACAGACAAAAAAAGAGCTATAAAGAAGAACATACTGACCAAAAAAGAGCTATAAAGAGGAACACACTGACATAAAGATATAAAGTTCACCTTAGGCCTCACTACTAACAAGTAGCTATTGGGTGCTAGTGGCAAGGAGCAAAATACTCTGCCAGGGTAAATCAAACCACTTTGAGACCAATACTGCTACTTCATTTTATCAAACTGGGAGTCCTGGCCTTCACTGCTGCTGGTGTTTCAACCGCCACATAAAATTCAGGGAGTAAACACTAGCCCTTTATCAAGAGGTCTGAAGGGGTTTGATTTAAGTATTAAAGCTACTTTCAATGTAGCCAAGAACAGAGCAGACCCCAACTCCAATGTTTTTGTTTAATGACTAAATGCACCATCTTTAACTATTTTGTAAATAGAGCTGACTGCGGTGAAGTGATCTATGTATCTTACTACATTCTTTAAAAAAAAAAAAAAATGAAACCTTTCCAGCAAGGGTAAATCTAAGAGTTAATTTTTCTGACCAACGCTGTCAAGTCTATTCCCCTTGGGTCTGCCAGTGGGTGACGGTAGCTTGGCCTCACCAACAAATATAAACATACCGAGTCTTTTTTATGAACGAGGTCCCATAATTCAGGAGTCTGGTAAACTTTGCAGTGCTTCACTCCAGCGGACCACAAGACATGTTTGAAGCATCTCAGTAATGACTTGAGTTGGCCTTTTTTTTTCTTTTTAACACAAGTCAGAGCTCTTTCCTGACTTCGCTATGCCTATCTCACCTGCATCCTACACTCGGGGGCGATGTAGCTAAAAATTAAAGGCACGTTTGTCAAGCTTTCACATTCCCTGTACTTCCTTACAAAGGCCTATTCTCCCCTCTCTGCTTCAAACGGAAGCATTTGAATTCACCACAAGATACAGAGATTCCCGAGGATGGATCTTCTCCTCTACTTTTAATGGCTACAAGGACAGTTTTAATTCAGGCCTCTCGTCTCTCTTCTAAAGCCTGAAGAACTTGCATGATTCTTCCTCTTAATTTTCTCTCCACTCTTCTCCCATAGATGCCAGCGATGCCAAGACACGCAGAGCCTGTTTGTGCTGCCACTTGAATGAGACTCTCCCTTTTTTCTTACCTTTAATTCTGCCTCAAGCCAGAGTCCACCCCCTAAACAGCGTAAAAAGTTGCTGCTCACCCACGGAATAACAAGTAAAAACCACCACACCCACATCAACTGTCTTCCTTTTGCAAGCCACCAGGCCAGCTGTCACTTCTGCATAAGCAGCAGCACTCAACTCCAGGCAAGCAACTTCAATGGCTTTGGATGGTTTTAGCACATCTGGAACGGAAGAGTGAAGTGCAAAGCTGAAAACTGGTTTTTGATCTTACCTGGGCTGCTGCTGGGGCTGCTGGAGGAGCCTGACTAGGTGGAGGTACGGCAGCCGTTTGAGGTTGTGCAGGTACTTGTCCTGCAGCCTGAGGTAGTTGAGTAGGTGCCTGTGCTGGAGCATTGAGTGAAGGACCTGGAGGTTCAGCTGATGGGAAGAGCTGCAAGCAAAAAGGCGTTTTAATGAGAAAAGGAACTCGAGTTCTAACCCAAGCACCAGCTGTTCAAAAAGTGCTTGTTTGCTGCATAAATCACTTGGAGAACTTCAATGGCAAGGGCGTTCCCAGGCCTTCAGGACACTTAACACGGGTCCCAAGTTGGTATTCCAGGGTCCTTGGCTGGTATTCAAGGTGTCCTTATGTGCAGGGGCCCCTTCTGCCCTGACATCTGCATGTTTCACTCACTAGTAAAGAAGAATAAGAATCCAAGACAGCAGTAGGACTGTGGATCTTGGATAAAAGCTACCCTCTGCAGCTAGCAAGGCTGGATGCACACACAGATCATACCCTAGAGCTTGCACAAGGCCACCCTATCCTTTAGTTGCTCCCCTTCTCAAAATCTGAGCTCTACTTTTATTGTCAACAGCAACTCTGCTTTCACTTGTAGTTCCTTTCGGAGAACACGGCCTAGCAAAGCATTAAGGCAACTATTGACAATTTATCCATGTGCCAAACAAGTATCTGAGTCAGAGTAACCCAGACATTCAGCCAAAAAGTGAATTCAGAGTTCTTCAAAACACGCAAGATTGTCTAGGGTTGGACTTACTGAAGTTAGTCCCTTGCAAAAAAAATCATGTGCAACTAACTTGAGGATGAGAGGAAAAGCCAAATGAAGATTTAGCCTTTTTGATCTCTTGTGTTATCCTGAACAGAGAAACTGATGTTGCCATGGCAGCCAAAGAACTGTAAGCTTGACGGCACTTCTTCAGTGTGCCCTCCAACTTTGCTAAGTTGTAGGAAATACAAAATTACCCGGAATATGGAAAACCTGGGCAGCACACCTCCAAATCACAAGATATATATTTAAGGGATGTATCACAGCGGTGAAATTCACCCTAAAGGGATTCTGGTTTTCAGCTGTTTCTCTGAATGTAGAGGTTACATCAAATTACACTGCCTTTCCCTAGTCTGTCTTGAGATCTCCCTTTATAATCAATCCTCGGAAAGAGATGAAGGAAGAACAGGACAGCCTAACCCAAGACTAATTTCTAGGAGACAGCTCTGTTTATCTTTCCACACAGGTAGGGAAAAGACAGCCAGCACAGTCTCTAGAAGATAAGCAGTCCCTATCACTGAAAGATAAGATACACTAATATTCTTAATGTAAGAAAGAGAACAGAACTGAAGGCAGATTATAAATGGCAAACAAACCAGTAAATTAGACTGTGCAAACCAGCCATTTTAAAAATGTGCTTTGTTGTTTGTTGGGTTTTTTTAAAGAGAAAATTGGAACACTATCGTTTTGCTTAGATTATTCTCGCGATCAATTCATTATCTTACAAAATACGGACTTTTGCCATAGCAAGTACAGTTGAAAAGATATATACGAGGCTTACCTCAGGAAGACCTCCTGGTATTTACACAGCCAATGGCTCATTTGACAGGGAGGTTTTCAGGCAGAGCTCAGCTAGATAGTAGCTTCTAATTCACACAATATTCTTTTCAAAGGTCGATAAAAACACGTTGTTTGAAATAACAGCAATAACTAAGAGCCATTTGCAGTTATAACTTACCTCAGAATTCTGTACAGGTTCTTTCACTCTGGGAGACTGGAAAACAGAGAAAAAAGCTGTCATTGCCCAGACAAAAGCAAAACTTCCCAGTTAGAAGGACTTGTCAAAACCATATGGAACCCAGGAAATCTAAATAATTGCTTTCACTTACATCGATGTATTAAGATACATAATAAAAGGGACATCACGCAATCTGTTGGCAACCAAATCATATCATATTGGCCAGGAACATACAGTCTTATTTCAGAACCTGTAGCTGATGTTTACACAGTGGCACACAATACCCTAAGCTGCTATCACTGCTAACCACTACCAAAATCCAATACTCCTGGAGATCCCTCCAACTGGATCAAATCACTTGCGCACCAAGCTGGCAAAATTCACTTTAAGCTACCCAAGTCTTGCAGAAAAAAAGATAAGCCACATAAATCTGCCTTGCTGAATTACGTTAGGAAACAAAGCCCCTCGGTATACGTAGTGAACTAGTTTGCAAACCACCTTGCTTAAACCTTACGAAACCTTAGGGGGGTGGGAGGGCGAGGGGAATCAGCATTAGTTGTGCTGCTCTCCTCACTCTCGGACTCTGCGTTACTCAACGCTCTCCGTGAGAGAAAGCAGAGAACTGACAGTCCCACAGAAGTTGAGCAGCTCAACAAAGAGATCAGCGGAATGGAGGGGAAAGTGCGGCCAAAGCGACGTGACTGATCTTTGCTTATCAGTAAAAGATAATGTGCATTAGCTCTTTCACATGAGCAGGAAGGAATTGCCAAGCACTTCTGGAAAGCCGGGCAATTACCAAGAGCCTGCAGCTCTGACTTTTAGACAGGTCCAATTAGCATGTGGAGATAGACGGGACAGCTTGGTCTGTGCTGGGATTAATAAAAATAGGCGTACTTCTCCACTGATGGGCTATAACCCAGGTTGCAACGTAAGTCTCATGTCGCTGTCCTGTTCCAGTTGATGCACTAAGCAATGCCACTATCTTAACAAATGCAGGTCAGAGCAATTTCTCACATATGACCCAGGTGTCTCACGAGAGAAGGTTACAAATTCTTATTCTCAGACCAGCAAGTTGGAAAAAGCCCTCTGGACAGCAGAAGGAACAGTTCCTTCACGATGACCGTGTGCAGATAATGTCAGGAGAAAGTCACGCAGCTGGAAGGGTAAAGCCTGAAATCCATCTCGATGTACTGAGCCTTCACTTGACAGTTACCAGGCAAGATGAAACGTGTGGCATTGCTCCCAGAGATACACAGTCATGCTTCACATCTGCAGGGCACAGCTGCAGCCCCGTTCTTTCAGGCACAAAGCTCCTACCCAGAAGCAACCCGGATGCCTCAAGAATAACTCCAAAAGAGCTTGTGTGACAGATCCCAGCGTGGGAGACACTGTACGGACCAGTATGGAAACACTGGCCCTGCCCCACAGCTAACAACTAATCCAGACAAATGGCAAACAGAAATAAACTAAGGAAAAACACGAAGAGACAGAGAGGAAACATGACAAACGTTAAAACACATTTACCTAATTAAGGCACAACTAGGATGACTTCAGGCATGTGCTGAGAGGTGTTAGTTGTAACTTATTTTTGCTTGTGTGATCAGAGACGATGTGAGTAACCGGGGAAAGGTGACCACACGGCGGGTCGCTGCCCGGATTTATTGAGTAACGGGAGGTGAATGACTTAAGTGCTCGCACAGCACAATTTTATTTTGAATTCAAGGTTTCAAATGCAGAGGAAAGAATAAGTCTTGACATCCAAGAGGTAACGTCAAGCCAGCAAGTCACCAGATTCAACAAACTGAGCAGATACCTCCAGCTCTGTCTATAACAAAGATGTGTTTGATTTCAGGTGCAGTCCTAGCAAGAGACTTGTAAAATCCATGTCTGTACATATTAAATACGCCCTTTTTTTTTCTGTGAAGTGGAGGCGAGCAAAAAATACAAACACTTTCTGTTTATGTAGACACTTTTATGCAGGTTGATATTTAAATGTTTTAGCAAATCGAATCAATCTGCAAGACATCCTTGTACTCTAAGGCTGACAGCAATCAAACGGAGGTACAGACAGAATCACAGGATGCCTGGGGTTGGAAGGGACCTTTTAAGACCATCTAGCCCACCGCCACCACCATGGGCAGGAATAAAGCGTAACACCTAATTAACGTACGTAATTCTATCCGAACAGAGAGCAGCACAGGGCAACATGTCAAAGCTTCGAGAAAAAAAAAAATTTGCTTGAAAATGAGCTTGTAAACATGTGTGTCAATCTGCTTTTTCTGAGCAAGAGTACTGTAACGAGCGCTGTTCAAAACTCCGTAGTGTTAAGTTAGAGTATCCTGAGTTTTGAGATTACTTAGAACACGTTCTATCTTGTCTCTGAAAGACAGTAAGGGTCATTTACAACATTGCCTCCTCAAATTTTACTGTATTTTAACCTACAAAAGGAATTTAGAAGATATCAGTTCATAAAGCATGAAGGATTTCAGCACCAGCTACCTGGTACCAAGAGATCCTCCTTGACCATGTACAACATCGATACAACATCTTACATTTAATATTTAAGTGTCTATATAGAACACCAGCTGAAGGAAGACTAATGAAAGAAAAATGAGAAAAGTTAAAGTTGCAAAGAGATAAATGCTGCAAACCAACACTGCTTTTTCTTTCCCTTTCATACTGAAGTGATTCCTCTAAAAACCCTTCACTGCCTCACTAATTCAATGACAGGACAGATTAAGAAGCACAGGCCACTCCAAGCTACCTGCTGTTGTGAAAAAGCAACAGGCAAGCCGTTACAGTCAAAATCCACACTGCTGAATACTGACAGGAAGACAATGTGGAAATTTACTGTAATCTTTTAGCTGACCACTACACATTACTCCTCTGTGTTTCTGGGGGTTAGTCTGGGCTTGGGGTTTTTTTGTATATGTGTTCAGAGAAGGGGAGGTGTTGTTTTCTGAAGGATTTTAAGGTGTTAGACCAATCACTCCTTGTGGCTTCAGGGAGGCCGTAACATTTTCTACTAAGACTAATCGATTTCAGTGTGACTGAGGCGACACAATCTGGCCCTGTGCCTTTCACCGATCAGCCATGGGCACAGGCCCTACTGATTTCAGTTCCATCCTGGAGAGGGCAGTAGGACAAAACCTCTTGTGACACTTCCAGAAGAAAGCACCTCAAATACTGAGCACCCTTAAAACCAAAGAGAAATCCTAGCTCAAGTGAACTAGTATGCTGAGCTGGGAGCAGACCGTCTGAATTCATGTTCCCAATTAAGCTCGGCATCCCTGAATGAGGCCAGCTGTGTCCCACAATGATGACAGAAAAGAGATCAATACAATTTCTTCAGGCTGCAGTTTGCTTCCCTTAGTTTGGCTACAAAGTCGAGGGGATGGATTATAACTTACTCTGTGTTATACTTTAAAAAAGGCCACACGCTTCCCAGGGGTATTCAGACACACCGCAGTTAGAAAACAAAACCGAGGCAGGAGAGCTATCGGAGTTTGGGGACTCACCCTGAGCTGTGAAATTGCTGCTCTGCCTTCCTCACTTTCTTCATCTAGTTCATCATCACTCCATTCCCAGCCACCATCTTCAGTCTTATGCAGACGTCCGCTGGAACCTGGGACTCTCCGGACCTGCCCAGCACAAAGACAGAGAATTGATATGTCAGCTAGTTGCTACAGTTGATCTTTTTTTTAGGAGAAACAGCATGAGAGCATCTTCAGGTTATGTCATCTGCCAGGGTGCTTGAGTGTTTTATTGAAATGTCTAGCTTGGTATCTAGAAAATGCCATACTACAGCAATTGTCATTAAACATGAGGACACGAGCATAAAAAAAAAGTACAGCTGTAACAGCAAGAGCCCAAAAGGTTTTCAGTACCTTTTTGGATCTTTCAGTGATTGTTGGTGCTCTCTGCAACATCTTCTCTTGTAAGAATTCTTTATTCTGCAAAAGAAAAAATACCAAACATTTGCATTGCTGAAAATGCCCTTTGATTCCTTCAGTGTTTTCAATAAACTTTTAAGTTATTTCGTCTCTCACGAGTTTCATCCCCATTCCCCCAAGACATTAACCACTTTCTTCTTTTGGAACACAGCTTCACCCCAAATACCTTTTCAGTTGGTGGTGGTGCTTTCCCTATGCAAAGCGATACAGAATGAACAATCAGGGAGTTGTATACTACTCTGATTTACTAGGGAATGCACTACTTACGTTGCAGCATCTGATACCCTGCCGAGACATTTGACACGCTTCCACCACCTGGACTCAGCCCTTTTATTTATCCCACTCCTAAATTTTATACCTCTACAACCATCAAAGGCAAACCTCAGACATCAGGCAGGGGGAGATGTAGGAACACTTCTATGCCAGAGTATCAAGACTGAGGAACTGGGGCAGCAGGATTTAAAGTGGTCAAAAACACTTGCAGCACGTACGACATTTAGAAGGGAAGTGAATGAAGGGATCACAACAGATTAAATGTTGGGCAGCCGCTCTGACGCTTTACTGTACTCAATGTCCTCTTCAACAAGTCAGTGGCTAACGTGGGCCCCTGAGCGTTCGATTTTCCAACCGCTTGGCTGCAGAGCCACACCGCTGGCTTCAGGGGAAGGAGGTCAGGGAAGCACCTCGGCCTTAGCGCCGGGATCTGGCTGGGTGTCCCACAGCACAGCAGTGAGGTCACAGCCCTGCCCTCTCTGCCCATGAAGTGCTCCCACAACTCCCCTGTGACGGTCCCCTGCAGGCAGGATGGAGAGCCTCGAGCCCACGCTGTCTCCTCCTGATAAGCAGCTCTCAGCAATATCAAAACCTACCTTTATGTAACACAGACTGTATTTAAATATATGGATAAATATAGATGTATAGAAGTTGGACTCTCCTATCCTCAAGTTTCAGCTGTCAGTTTGGCAGTGGCTGAGGTATGAAAGTAATTTAACACTTGGTGTTAACGAGCTCACATTTTCACTTTGGATGCCGGTTTAAGTATCATCTCATTTTACCATAATGTTAATTTTCTATCACCACATATGCTAATATGTTACTCTGCAGCAGCTTAATGAAAGCACAAAGGAGATTTTGCACACAACGAAGTACAGAATTCCCAGGGCCAAATGGAGAAAGGTCAGCAATGTGTAAACCATCCTGTCACTTTGGACACCAAGTGGGTATCCAGTACAGAGAAAAGACTATTCCGTCGCCTAAAATCCCCATTGTGAAGAACGAAAACCTAGTTAATACTGTCAAGAGTCAGACATCAATTAAACTTGCCCTAAAGCAAACTCCTTACATTTCATGTACTGGATCACTCTCTAGACTTCCTTCGTTGCTCTTGTTAGGTTTCTGTCAACTTCAACAGGACATCCAGCTCGTGCAGATACCTAGATGGGGCCGCTTCCATTTAAGGATCTTAATCTGGGAGCTGAAAATCGCTCGGATTAATTGGTGATGCTCCTGTGCCATCGCGGGTGTTAGACACCTTTTGACACTTGAATCTGTGTTCTGCTATAAAACTCATGTATTCTGATGACAAACGTGCCATGGAAAAAACAAGCAAACAGACAAAGTTTCCTCATTTCCATGGAAATATAAATTCTCACCTGTATTATTTCTGTCTGTCTCCCTTGGTGAGACTTTGCACGTTGCATGTGCACTAATCTCCAGGTGGTAATCACATAAATGCTCACTGGCACTTCACTTCGAGGCTAGAAATGGGAGTTTCCTACTTTTTTTATAATCACAAGATCTTCATTTTCCATAAGGCGACACCGGGGAAAATAGTTTCAGGTAGCCCTCCACACAGTGAACTTCATTCACTGCTTTGCATACAGACTGATTATAGAGTTTACTCAAATATAAGTTACATTTTCTGCCACAGAGACCTTTAGGGTTGGACAAGCAGCCAGAACGGCACCACTACAGGAGAAGAAAAAACCCCAAAAGCCACTGAAATACATGTAAATGCTCAAGAATTTCCAGATAATTTCCCTTAATGGCAGCATACCCAAGAAAGCACAGAAAAGGGGCTTCATTCTGTTCGTTCACAATGAACCATTCAACTCGCTCAGCTATGCTGGCCCTTAGCAAAAGAGCTCCCACTGGTGCCAATAAAGCTGTCACCATACTTATCACACTTTTGAAAAGCTCTCTCCCCAGCCTCTGCACAGATCAGTTCAGGGAGCGTTTTCTTACCTTTGCTTTCGTGAAAAATTTGTGTCTTAAGAGTTCCGCTGCTGTGGGTCTGTCAATAAAAACAGATGTAGAAAAGACAATTATAAATGCTCCCTTTCAACACAACGGTCTTCTGGGTTGCCGCAGCTTGGTGTACAGTGGCATCTCCCAAGGGCATCGGCTTCTCCTGCACAGTTCCCCTGAAAATCAGTCAATGTATTCCAAGTAAATTTTACACCAGCAGTCTTGGAAACACTCAGTGTATTCTGAGCCTATTCTGTTCAAAAGCAGTGAGTAACTTCGGGGTGGGGGGCAGAGGTTGCTCCTGTTTTGATGTCGGATTTGAGTTTCTTAGAGCCAGTTTGATAAAATCACAGAAACTATTTGCTCAAAACCGAAATGAAGGATCATCATTTACTGCAGGAACGCGGCACTTGCCAAGTGCAAGTAACAAAGTTATTTTAGAGATACTTGATGACACATGTGCAACTAGTTCTGCTGAACACAGGCAGGACAATCAACTTTTGTCTATCAGAAAAGGAACAAGTGTAAACTATTTTCTCTTTTAAGTTAGGCTTCAGAATAAATATGGGAAAGTAAAAGACCTATATGAACAAGTACCAGCTTATAGCATTTCCCACACTGCAAACCGTGCTTAAATAGTAACAAGAGTTTAATCAGTGAATTGCAAAGGCTGTTTGTCACAGGGTTTATTTCTCAACCTCTCCACCTTACAGCAAGGGAGTCCTCAAAAGAAAAATACTAAAAAGCGATTGCACCAAGCTCTCCTCTTGGAGAGCCCGTACAGAATGCATAAGCTTATCTGACTCTGCTAGTTGCTCTTCGTGGGCAGAGCTCCTGTTCCCCTCCTCAGGAGGATGACAGCAGCTGTTAATGGTGCCCGAGAAGAGAGAATCACAGAATGACAGGAGTTGGAAGAGACCTCTAGAGGTCATTTAGTCCAACTCACTGCCAGAGCAGGATCCCCCAGGGCAGCCACACAGGAACGCGTCCAGATGGCGGTTGAAAGTCTCCAGAGAAGGAGACTCCACATCCTCTCTGGGCAGCCTGGGCCAGGGCTGTCACCCTCACAGGGAAGAAGTTTCTCCTCATGTTGAGGTGGAACTTCTAACTTAAACCCATTACTTCTTGTCCTATTATTGGGTACCACTATGAAGGGACGGGCACCTTCCTCTTGACCCCCACTCCTCAGCTATTTATACACATTAAGGTCCCCTCTCAGCCTTCTCTTTCCAAGGCTAAACAGCCCCAGTTCTCTCAGTGTCTCCTCACAGGAGAGAAGTTCAAGTCAGAGAATCACAGAATCATAGAATGACCTCGGCTGGAAGGGACCTTAGGGATCATTTAATCCAACCTCCCTGTCATGGGCAGGGACGCCTCTCGACTAGATCAGGCAACGCCTGGGGACTGAACAGGTCCCTTAATCCTCTTTAATGATCCTCGTCCGGGTAGGTGCACCACCATTCAAAGTGATTCTGTTTCATTCTGATCAGCACACATTCTAACCTGCAGGGATAGGATATGCTTTAGAAAGGAGAAAAAACAATATGCTAAGGGGGAAAAAAACCACCTGCTATCAGCATTTATCAAGCACTCCACTGGATTCATTAAGCATTTCAAGTGTAAAGCTTGTTAGAGGAGAGAGATCTCATCTCATGATGCGTGAGAAGCCTTTGTTCCTGGAGCCGTCACAAGAGGGAACTGAAAAATGTCTTCATTATTATTATTTTATGAAGGGACTTTTTACTTTCCAGAATCAGTTTGCGTACTGAGGGGGGGAAAAAAGAAAACTAAGAGGTATAAAAACTAATCTGTGGGAATGCTTGTTCCTTTACCTTTGCCTTTCAAGGAGCACTACTTTTAATGCAGGATGAACACTCCTTTAACCAGCTGCATAGACTGGCAAGTGCTACGACTGTCCCTCACAGAAACACGTCGGAGCTATCCTGTGGGACAGGCTGGGGGTTTCAGACAGCGCCGCAGGCAGCCAGACCCTCGTTCAGCTTCGAACGATGCTGGAACCCAACGATATAACGCTGTCCTGGCAACCACAACACACACACCACCCCCTCGGTGGGATTTCTAACAGCACTGAGTACTCAAGCTACTGTTACAAAGAAGACTGAAAGTGTCATCAGGTCACTTAAGCAATCTGTATTGACGAAAACATGTTCATGAAACTTGCCAGTGTTTTCCCTGATCTTCCCCTCCAAACAAAATATCAGCTACCATTAAGCAAGTCAGAGCTAGACTGAAAAGCCTTCTTTTTGCGCTGGCAATTTGTTTTTTTAAAGTTTATTTATGAAGCTTCGCAAGTAAACACATATTACCCAACATGTAATTCCTGATTTATAAACACAGAGCAGTTCTGATTGGGAACAAAACATGAACTGCAGTCACCTGCTGGAGGTGGCAAGGGGGAGAACGGAACAACACAGGCAGTGGACTGGGATGCACTCTCATTAACCCAAATGACAGATACGTGCCCAGGCCAGGCAGAACGCCAGACATTTATCCTTAAAAATAAGGACAGCCGAAAGAGTTTGCTGCCACACAGCAAGATTGCTGAGTTCACCATGACTGACAGGCTGCAAGGGCAGAGAGCGTACCAGCTTTTAAAAATTTAAGGAAAACTACGAGTTTCACGGGTTTGTTTTAGTAGTGGGGTTTTTATTTATTTATTCTGGTGTTACTTGCTCTTACCTTTTTTCGGGGTCTTTTTGTAGGCACGATGAAATCATCTTCCTGAACGATTTCCCATATTTCTTCAGCATCTCCTTATCTTGCACACCGGTTTCCAAAGACGGAGGATCATTTTGTAGCGTCAACATTAAAACCTGAAAGAATTAGGTCTATCAGCAATTAGATTTTTCTTGGCCTTCATCAGACACAATTTCAGACATTTTCATCAAGCATTTGAGTCAACGAGGACTTTTGCACTACAGCAGCTTTCTGAGTGTAGCCATTGCTCAGAGTGAAATATCTTACAATATTGACTGTCCCCTCACGTTCACCAGACAGCAAAACCTTTTACTCAGAGCAATTCCAGGGTCTCTTCTCTTCCCTCTGCTTCCCACCCTCACTAACTTCGTAGGAACAATTACTTTCAAAACCTTTACACCTCTGCAAATTCCGACTGTCAGCTGAGAGGTTCAAGACTCCTACGACAGGATCTAGAGAGAGTTACCCCCACCTCCTCTCCTTGGGAAGCCAGGCTAATTTAGACCTAACGATTTACGCTGCTGTTTTTCCATCACATCTCCTGGCCCACGGTGCAGCCTGTGGGCCAAACAGAAGGTTGGGATGTGCTTTCACGCCTGTTTGGTGTGATTAAAGATATAAGCATAGCAGAACTTCTACCAGCCTTCCTCATTTGAGATGAGCAGTTGTGCAAGGCATTTGGTTCAAAGGCTTTGTTTAGATCTCTCTGCAGCTGTTGCTTAGGTGGAAACTAATTTAATGTAAAAGCAGAAGAGTAACGTTAAAAAAAAAAACGAGGGTTCACTTCCATGTACCAGTGCGACAGCAGGTGAAGACATTTCTCACACAAGCACCCATCAAGCCAAACTGACTATTTCCTTCACAACACTCAGATATTCTGAAGGAAAGGAAGAAAATTAGTCATTTCCATTTTCACTTGTCACCTACATACAGATGAACACCTATTTTTAGACAAGGAAGCAGCACACAGCACATTTAAATAGCTTTCAACAGCTATGGTGCTTGGGGCAGCAAGAGCCCATCAATCTAGCTGAAATTATACAGCCCCTGACAGAATTCCCTGCTTTTTTCCTCTCCTCTCCTTGGAGGGTCACTTAATGCATGGGTCATTTTGTTAAGTAACAAAATTAATCCACAGTGAAATACAATTGCATTCAATAAATACAACACAGAAGTCCTCTTGCAGGCTGCACAGTTGGAACCCACACCTAATAGAAGTGACGACTCCCAATTCTATCTCCCATACAACGGCAGGCGACAGTAAACAGGCAGTCTTTGTATTCCAAGCTACAACCCACGCATTCGAAACACAATAAATAGAAGTAGCTTGCAGAAGCTACTGCAAAATGCTACTCATAATCACAGCACAGAAGGAAATATCAATGAAAACAGCAACAGTTAAATCAGCAACGCATTTTGCTGAATTCCTCACTGCTCTGCTGCAATCACGGACCTGGGACGGACTTTAATGGCATTTCTAAACCACTCAGCTACTCACCAGTTCCTGCACAGAGATGACACAAATCTTAAAATTCATTCTGTTCTACAAGAGTTTAACGAGCGCCTGGCATTTAAAGAGATACACAGATGTGCCTGGTCTGGTGAGTTACTGGATCCCAAATGCTACCGTAATCGTGGGGTGGCAGGGGATGCACCCAGGTCCTAAAGAGGTGACATCCAACTTGCACAGCAGCCTAGCAGCTAAAAGAACCAGAAAATGAAAGTTTGCCCCACTGTATGCCTAAAACTGAAGGACTGAGCACCCCCAGGCCTCCTATCCCAGGTTAACAAGTCTAAACCTAAGCTCTGGGGTCACTGAAAGGGCTCTCCACGCCCTCCCGCTCGCTCTGAGGAAGGAGGCATCCCAGGAGTAGAAGCAAAGTGGCCTTGAGGAGAGTGGGGCAAAGGGACTCAAAGTTTCATGACTGAGACAGGGGCCCATCAGACCTCAGGAAGAGAAGCAAGAAGGTCTCAAAGCTCAGTAGAAGGACGGGATGCTTCAGACCTCAGCTGACGGGGTCAACTTTGTTAAGATGCAGACTCCCTGAAGGAGCAGCATGTTGGAAGCAGGTCCTGGTTCGAGTCAGGAAACTGGGAAAGTCAGCCAAACCACTGGGCAATCTACAGTTCAGGATATTTGAAAAAGATTTTGAAGTACTGGTGTTTAAAATAGAGTTTTTCTCAACTTCAACAGCATACTAATGGTGCTGATAGCACACCATTTCATACCAAAGTGGTACTTTGCACTGGTTCAGTGATGGACAGCAATGTGTCGGTGTTAAACAAACTAAGACATTCTTCTGGATAACTGGCAACAGGATTTCTGAGAGGTATCAAGAAGGATTTTCTCAGTCGTTATTTCTAGCCCTAAAAACATCTGCTGCCTTCAGAGCCTCCAGGACTAAAACACAGCACTCTCCTCAAGAGTGGTGACCCTGACAAGACTCAGGATGTAAATAAGAACCGCACGGTTTCCAACAATGCTGATTAAGTGACGTATTTTTAAAAGGTGACTTCAGATAAATCCAAGAACATCATGATCCACAAGAGCAAACTCTTCAACACAGCACGCTGGCCAAATTCTTGCAAACACCCCCAGAATACAGCGATCCTTTATCTTGCACAAGGATTTGGAGACCTGCTCACCTTCATTGGTGGGTATTTATGGTAAGGAGCTGCCCCTGTAGCCAGTTCGATAGCAGTGATCCCAAAGCTCCAGATGTCTGCCTTGAAATCATATCCTCTGACCTGGAAAACATTACAGGATATTAGCATGTGCCTCTTGCTCTTCTACAATACAATTCCTTTCTTTCGCCTGTTACACGTTTTTCCTTCTTTCCCCCTTGAATTTGGAGAGGCCAGCGCTGTAGCTTTAAAGGGATGGAAAGGACACTATCTCCCTCCTCTCCAACCCAGCTCCTCAAGGAGAGGTTTTAGTTGTAGTTTGATGAAAATTACGGTTGCAGACCGTGCTCTGCCATAAACCTCTCCGTGTAAGGGCACTGGGCTAACCCAGGCTCTGACTTCTACACAAAGACACAGAGTGTCATTAAAGAGTATATTGAAACCCTCACAGTTAACGGATGGACTGCTATCCACCTGGGACACATGCCTCACTGCGCTTTTAGTCACCCACTTCATCAGTCTGACTGCAAACACACTCAATCCTGAAACTTTCAGTACACACCCGTTCAGTAAGAGGTCCCTCGGACCTGTCTGCAGACTAATATTTCCCTTTGCTAATTAATAGTAGCTTCTGCACTTGACATTAAACACAGTCTTGTTCAGGAAAATTTATAGCGTTTACTTCCCCTCATGCACAGGAAAAAATATTTCATGTGCCAAAGCGGTTCCTTCCTCATTATCATTAGGTAATATTTTGGCACGTGCGTTCTCTGCTGCAGGGGAGAGACACTATGTACTAACTTCAAGAGTAGCTACAGAAATCAAAGCACTTTGGCTGCTTAGAACAGTTTGTATTTCTTCTTCCTAGACTATGGAAAAATTACTATTGAATCAGAGCAAAGCTAATAGGGATATTGTGTTCAGCTAACCTAACAAGCTTTAGAAACACCCTTATTGAGATGAAGCCAAAATCATTCCACAAACTCCTTTTAAGATGATCTCAAATTCCGGAAAAATAAAAAACCCTCTTGCACTGTTCCTCATATAATCTTACAGCTGAACTGAAATTTATTACAGAAACAGGAGTTTATATCTTGCACTAACTTCAACTCTTTAGGCATCGTCTTCGTGAGCCTTAAAGGTCTAAACAAGCACAGATATCTAATACATATAACTTGTAAGAACACAGTACAGGAAGAAATATGCTGTAAGCACGTTGCTTTGAGTTTTGAGGACAACTTTGGGACATTTCTTAGTTTTATCTTTCAGTTAGTCTTGCAGCACACCTAGAGACTCTACAACTTACCATTCCCCACCGGGATTTCACCTGTTTAGTGGGATTTGGTTTTTTTATTAGACAACATGCAAGTGAAAGCAATCAAGTTCAAAACCATCTACAGCAGCCGAGCTTGACATCTGTCCAACACACATTAGCCACTACCCCGCAGTTCATTTACATCAACATTTATTTGTTCTCATTAAAGTTTTTTTTCTTTTTCATCTCCATAAATCTGTCAAGTGAACGTAGATTGAAAGGTAGTGCCAGATTATTAAGTGTTAACACGCTAAGGAACTTAACAACGCTGAAGTAAACCAGCTGGACGTGGAAGGGTGTAACCTACAGCAACCCCTCCGTCCTTTTTCCCTGGGCTTGGATACAGCGGCTCAGAGTGACACCTGCTGGGAGACAGCAAGATGATGGAAATGCAGAGCGAAGGATTTCACAGCAGCTTCCAAAAATACCTCCTGACCACTTGCAGCAAGCTACATGTACGCAGCCTTCATGGAAATGTCAAGACTCCCTAGAAGATCTTGTCTCCTTCAGAAACACATGGGTTGCATCAAAAACTCTTGCTTTGTCATCCAAACCTTCATTTCCCTTTTTCAGCACCCTCCTTAAGAGCTTTATTTTCCCTGCTGGCCTGCAGACTGCAGCCACCCTGGAGCAGCTGGAGCAGCCCCATCAGGTCCCAGCCAGCCTGCTGGGATCTGCGCACTAGGATAGGACACGAAGGACAGAAAAGCAAAGGACAATTCTGATCTGCTTTGCAAACACCAAAGACTCAATTTTCAGTTATTCTAAAATCGACATAACAAAAACAAATGCAGAAGAATATGACAGTGAAGCAATTCAGAAGAAAGTTCACAAAAAGAGTTCCCAACTTGGGGAGTGTGTCTTGCACTGTGTGGTGGTAAGACTTGTACCGCACCAGCCCCTCGATGCCACCGTGGGGAGCCACTGAAACGGCCACACATCAAAAAAGCCTTTCATCAATGGAATCTACTTCAAAATTACCTCAGTTTCTCAAGAAGTTTTAGACATAAATCACACATTAAAGGTCTACCACGGTTTTAGCAGCATTTCATTTTATACATTCCAGAGAGTGTAGTGATAGGATGAGGGGCAACTGCTTCAGACTCTAAGAGAGTAGATTTCTTTCAGGTATTAGGGATAAATTCTTTACTGTGAGGGTGATGAGAACTGGCACATGTTGCCAGGATGTCCCTTCCCTTGCAGTGTTCAAGGCCAGGTTGGACGGGGCTTTGAGCAACCTGGGCTGGTGGGAGGTGTCCCTGCCCATGGCAGGGGGGTGGAACTAGACGATCTTAAAGTCACTTCCAACCCAAACCATTCCACGATTCTACACACACACATATGTGAGGGTCTTACTCAAGGGCCTCCTAAGGTTCAAAATATTTTATTGTGAACAGCAAGGAGAAAATTAACAAGCTGAGTTTACCTTAATAAAATAATGTTTTCCCAAAATATTTTTTGTGTAAAACATTTTTGGAAGGAAAAAAGAAAAGAACAGAAAAACATTTATAGTCAGTTGTATTTCTGCTTGGCACACCTGTTGAAACCCAAACCAAGTGCAGCCCTCCGTCAAATCATTTTTTAAGGGGATGAGGGATAATTTTCAGAATGCTTATGGCACTGAACATCAGTGCAACAGACAGTTACTGCAAATGTCCCATCAAGAACGTGGCATAATTTTGTTTGTGAATCTTGCTCAGCAATAGGCAATATTTTGCATTTACTTTTACATTTATTGAAGTTTCCAGGTGGCCTTCACCAGAAGTCATGCAGACAAAGCTTCTACAGTTTAGTCTAGAAGTAGTAAAGGACAAAAAGGGACATATCTCTACCCAAAGGGAGTAAGTTTGACATCTTTTAGCCAGCCAAAAGAGCAGAGGAGGAAGGAGGAGAGGCAAGCATTCCTCAGCATTTACAGTCTAGATACTAGAGGTACTACAGTCTAGATGTCAAGAGAAAATAAAAATCTGAATAAAGTCAACTGCACATTATTTTACTGTAGTAACTCCCCACTCTGAAACGGTGCAATTCGCTACCCCAAATTCCCGTATCTGCAAATGCAGAAGAGCACATTACTGAGCTGTGCATGTGCATATTTACCATGTGCGAAACTATTCCTATTGTACCTCATATTTATGCCAGAGAAAGGGGTAGGTTAATCTTCTTTATGCAACAGCTGAGCTGTCTCATCCTCACCTTAGACAGGAGCCTAAACAGAGGCAAGAGGGCAAAAATCCACTGAACACTTAATATTCCCCAATACAAGCCTGGCTGCAACAGGCAAATCGAAGAAAATCTTGTGGTTTTAAGAAAAACTTAGAGGATGCCAAATTATCATCTTCATTCGAAGTAAATAGGGTCATTGCTGACTACAGGGAATTCTGGATGCAGAGCAGCTAAAGAGGAAAGGAAAAAACACTTCACCTGTTCCATTACTTCTGGTGCCATCCAGCAAGGTGTGCCTACAAAAGTTTTCCGGACTTTATTTCTGGTAATGTCACCACCAGTGGCCAGAAACGCGCTAACACCGAAATCTAAAAAGAAAACAAAGAAATATTTTATTAAGAACACATCTTGAGCAAACTGAAGGGTTGTCCCCTCTTTCCCCTCACATTCCCAGCCACCTATTAAGTCCTAGACCACGTAGTTACGCATGAGGAGTTTCCTAATAAACGAAGAATGATCAACAGTTAGCTAAGAGTGCTGGGACATGAACAGTCTGTAGTCCAGCATTCAATTACTGGGGACAGCAGAGCTTTCAGCACTGCCCGGCAGAGAGGAAAATTCCACTTTCCATTACAGCCCACTGGTCACATCACAGCACGCCCGTGCTCCCCCGGCAGACCTGCTATTCTGCAAACTCGCCTCTGCCAGCCCAGGGAGTTCTTTACATCGTCACACATATGCAAGAGCAATAACTTCAATTAGCATCCTGCTAATATTTGCAAAAATGAAGGTGGGTACGTAAAAAGGTGACTAGACTTTCTAACATTTAACTGTCCCAGCTGCATCCTGCAGACTGGAGGTATCAGCCTCCTTATTGTTCTGGAGATTTTATTACCAAAATGTGCTTTGTATGGGAATCCTCCACGGCCGAGATGCTCAGTGCTTTAAACAGGAACACAGTGCCACGGCAGCGTTACCGAATCGAGCAGCACGTGCCGCTCGCCGTAGGCAGGTAGGTAGTCACCCCCTGCATGGCGTCACCCCCTCTGGAAACATCTTTCACAAGCTCAAGGATGCCCAAGCACGTGCCGGTAAATGTGTTATTTAAAAAGTAAATCATTCTTTGACAGTAAAGTTACGTTTTCCAAGGTAACACTGATGTTTCACACAATAATGGTTTCTCCACCTTGAAGGTGGTGAGACCCTGGCACGGGTTGCCCAGCGAGGGGGTGGCAGCCCCATCCCTGGAACGGGGCCAGGCTGGATGGGGCTCTGGGCAGCCTGACCTAGTGAGAGATGTCCCTGCCCATGGCAGGGGGGCTGGATTAGATGGTCTTTAAGGTCCCTTCCAACCCTGACAGTTCTGTGATTCTATACAATTAAGTATGAGGTGAGAAACAGGGTCTGTGAATGGCAGCAGTGGTGTGCAGGGACACCAAGGGGATTCAGGGTGTTTGTTCAGAGATGAGTATTATTACATTAAGATTTGGCAAGCAAGTCGTTCAAGAGAGGATGGCAGACTTTCCTCCAAGAAATAAATAAATCAGGTGACAAACCTGTAGGAGTATTTGCACCCAGTTTGCTCCAAACTACACTGCTTATGTACTGCTGAATTACAGACCTCCACAACTCAATTTTATTCACACAAAACCTTCTCTTTTAAACACTACATAAGCAATCAAAACCTTGAATGTTATTTTTGAGGTTGATGACAAGCTTGGAGGATAAGTCTCTGAAATTCAAGGACTATTTCACATAAAACCAGAATGCTATTGACCAGAACAGCTGGCATAGTTAACCATAAATGCAAAAAGTCTTACTCAGAGGAGCCACAGAATTTCTCCATGGCTTAAGGATGCTGTCCTAACTGAGGAATCATCTGCAAAAGATCTCTCTTTACAACGTGCAGGCAATGGCATCCACATGAGGACAATCCCAAGCTTCACTCTGCATCATGCTCTTTCTCACCAGTCTTTTGATATTTGAGAAACACCACTGAAAGGATCACTCAGAAGAATAAGATGCTGAAAGCTTTCAGCTCACTTAGGTTAGAAGCTTCCAAGGGCAGGAACTCAGTGCTCACTAATATACCAGATCCTGATAACTGAAAGCTAAAAAAAGTTGCTCAGAAATCACGGCTAAAACAAGCAGCGATTTTGCTTTGAGATCTTCCACAGGCATATCCCCCATCCTTGCTTTTCTCAGAAAACTGAACGAGCTTCCTAAAAAGTTCAGAGCACTCACACTTCACCGCTCGGTCCGGGAAGCCTTGCAAGATCTATTGTTCTAAACACAAGAGCAATTAGGAGTTCTTTTAAATAAGATAATACTAATAGAAACTTGTCCGAGTGCCATCGGCATATTATTGTGATGCGCTGTATTTGAACTTGGGTGTATTACCTTACCTCAAGTTTCCATGCAGTCATTCTGAGGGTAAAGGAAATGCCATTCAAAGCAGAAGCATTCCAGCAGTAAACACACAAGTCCTTTACGCAGCGTGCACAGCACTCGCCACATTTCACATCAAACGTGGAGTTATAAATTCCAGATGGAAACTGCACCCCTACATCTGCCATCTGAGGTCAGGAGAAAGCTTAAACGGCATTAAGTCGTATTCTGTTACATGGTGGATTTATTCAATGTTTTCCCAACCAATTTCCCTCATTTCCAGTGGGCTAAAACAGGCACAACCAGCCTGAGACTTTGCTTTAAGGAATGACATTGAAACAGTCTTCTCAAATGTCATCTTACAAACTTTATCCAAGCCCCAGCTATTAAGATAAGAATGTGCCGGCTCTCAAGAAATATCTGTAAAGCACCACAATAAAACCCTGACCACAAGTGAGGGCTCGTTTCTTACTTCTGAGCAGTTGGCACAGTCAGTGTCTCATTCTCTCGGCCACTGGTAACTACCCCCTGAAAGGCTAAACCAGAACTAGGTTATTACAAATGAGTTTAACTCTAGAAAAAAAGGGGAAAGCTATGAAATTCAAGGGGTACAATTGCTCAGAAGTGGCAGCTTGTACTTTCTATCGGCTCACTACGGTGATGACAAGGACCACATCTCCAGAAACAGGGAGGAACTGAAAATGCTTGGACCTGGCTTGCAGTACCAGTAACCACTACTGCTGGGAATCCAACAACTGTCCATTATTCTAAAGGAGCCCCAAAATTGCAGACTTTCAGCAGTCTGCTAGCAAGCAACAGTCTCCAGGATGTCTGGATGCAAACAGTAGGATCATTTCTTTATCATTTTTTCTGAAGCAATGTGGAAAAGCTTCATCCGCTGGACCTGTTCCAGTGATATAAACCAAAGACTTCCTTAAAAAAATTATAAAATATGCATCTCCAGACTCTCATACCACACACACAAAAAAACCTGCATGGAAATAATTCTGCTGATGTGGGCTCTGCAGAAAATATGTTCCATTTTGTCTTTTGCAGTAGAAACATCATGTGTTGCAAACCACATACCCTACAGAACACTCAACAGTGGCAGGGAATTGCAGGCTAGTGTTTGAAAAAGCATGGCAGTAAGCAACAATTCCTGCTATTACAGTATCCAAGTTGTCAAATTTGAAAACTGTATTGGCCGCTCAGGAAACCCAAAAGCTAAAAGGAAAATGTCCTCTTACTCTGTTTCTTACTGAAATAAAGACTTGGTCTAAACAACTCACCAAACACAAGAAAGCTGTGGCAGGACCACATCCCAACCACTGCTGGTGTGTACCTCCGGAAGACACATTTTCTGCAATATCCTAAGTTAGACTGTTTTATTCAAATCTACAAGTCAGCTGTTAAAAACCAGCTCTCCTTGGCCATCTCATATTGTAACATCACCTTAATCCGAAAAAGCCAAAGTACCTACAACTGTAGATTGCTACCCAGGAGGTAGGTACAAGGGAGAGACTGCAGTAATCAGGAGCCAGGACCAAAGTCTGCTGACACCAAACCCACCAATCTTTTTAGGATTAGACCCTAAAGGAGTTCCCAACTTCAGTGGCAAAGCCAATCTTGACTTGAAACCACTCAGAGGTGTTTTTAAACTTGGGTAGCTGAGATATTATCTCTCCTAAAGCAAAAATAAAAGTATTTCACAAGACAGCACCAAGTGTTTTTTCCAGTAGTCACCTTCCTTTTCAGTTGTTCACCATCAGAAAAATATCTGCAGTTGTGCTTAGGGCTTTTTCTGTAAACCTCAGAGCTTTTAGAGTGCTGAAGATTAATAAAGCCTGGCAAGAAATGGAGGAAGGCAGCAGTAAATAGCAATTTTGTCCTGAGAACACAGCAGGGTGGTGAAACACCAGAGAAAAGAAAGATTAGTGAAGGACAAGAGTCAAAAGCTTCTTCCCTTTAAAAACTATATGGTTATACAGTGATATTGGATCTATAAATCCATACTTGTTCTCCCAAATTCTCATTTGGAAAGGCAGATCTCTGCAGCCACGTATATTTATAACCAATTCACACAGAGAACAGCAGCTTTATTGCCTCACAAGTTTTGCCTTTTTGCAATAATGTCAGGGCACATAAAAGATGCATGAAATCCCTTTGCTGAGTAAATGCGAAGCTCATATCTGAAAGCGAGCCCCAATGGCACGGTAATAAAGAAACGCTAACGCTGCACAAAGTCACTGAAGGATGACAGAGCCCGAGCTCTGGTGGGGTGAAGCCACAGAAGAGAAGCTCACAAGTGGTTTCAACAACCAAACAGCACAATCTCTCCAGAAAACACAGATTTTACAAGTGACTCAGAGGAAAAGCTACTTCGCATCATGCTGCTACAAGGGAGGCACCAAAACTCTCCACCAGCCACAGACAACAGCACTTTTGCCCCTTTTTCAGAAGACAGAAGAGGCCCAGAGGTGTCCATGATACAGCACCGGCTGCTCGAGTCAGCCTTGCAATCCACTCTCCTTTCCCCAAGTTAGATTCGTGCCTTGCCCCTTGTTAAAGCAATTTAATCTCCCAAAGTTAAGTTTCCTAAGGGAAAGTGGGGGAATGCCACTGCCTGCATCATAGCTCCATGTTTATGTCGAGCGCTATTTTAGTACAATAAATTAAGAGCCGTCAGGAACACAGCGAACCGGTGACAAGCTGGCATGGATTTGTGGAAAGTTACACAAATTCAGTTACACAAGTTTTGCCTGGCCTTAACTATCCTCATTTTATAAATAGATAAAGCGAGAGGGCTTAGGCAATTTGCCCAGTATCAATTAGCAAGTCCTGAACGACTTCATGAAATCTCAATTTACTTCAACCGCCTGGCAACAGGGCCTGCCCGGGACGCGGCAGGCACACCGAGCACCTCTTGGGAGGGCAAGTTCATAATCCCGACTGGTTTGAAAACATCAAGTTACTGCGGTATCGGCCCCGCAACAGGAAAATCCCACACGTGGAGGAACGCGCACCTTGCAGCTTCTTCACATTCAATCGTGGAGGAGTGGATGACAGCATTATTTAATGTTCCAGTGGAAAAAATCCGGGGAAAAAGTGGTTTATTCTGCACCCAGTCTCGGCAGGATGCTAATCCTGTGCCGTGGCTGGAGCGGGGTTCCTACTGAACGAGCCTCATGCACCCAGAGAGTTTCCCTCAACATCTCCTGTCCATTCCCAGTCTATCAAGACTCTCACTTCATAATAATTTATAGGGCCTGCACAGTTAAATAAACTGAGGACTATCAAAGCCTTGCTTACTGTGAGAAGTCATCTCCTGGTTTATGCAGTAATATTGGTGCCAGTGCAGTTGATGTTGATAAAGAGTGTTTTTACCCGCGTAGCTTTTAGACTCCAGGGAGCCAATAAATGCCAGGGTAAAGAGATTTTATGCTCTGATTAAAAGGAAAAAAAAAAAAACCAAAACAATAATTGCCACGGAAAGGCCGGAACACAAAGGAATGCGGTTATCTCAATTTACATTGCAACCACCGTCAGCACTGCCCAGAACAATGGTATCGGGGAGAGAGTCCTGCTCCCTCCAGAAGACAGATTAATTCAACGTGCCGGAAAATACTTCAAACTCAGAAAGCGATACTCTCTAAACTGTTACAGGCTCCAAACACTTGGTGCCAAGCCACAAAAGCCCAAGCCAGTGCCCTTGGGGGGGAAACAAAACGAAACAAGATGTTAAGAGAGAAGCAAGCAGCCTCACGTTAGGTCTTGCCAGTCAGGTGGAGCTGTTCAAGGCAATTTTACGCCCTGGTGCAGGGGACACACATTTTGAAATCAAAGGGCGGTACACAGTTAAAAACAGAGCCACAGGTAAAATATCAAGTCTCAGGACTCAAGGAGGAGCCTGAAGCTGGGAGTTTGTGCATGCCACTAGAGGAACTGCAGGATTCCTGCTTCCAGCAAACGCCCCTGAGCTCACTGACTTCTCCTCCGTCCCCTCACCGATGCAAAGCTCCCCCGGGGCCCGAGTTACAAAGAGAACCTGAGGAACACCGGATGCACCTTCATCGAGTTGCTTTTTGTGTTCAACTTTAACAGAAGTGCCCAGCCCAAATTAACAAAAGAGGTTTTAGCTTCCTTTGAGTAGAACTGTTGAATCCTCCAGCAAAGCTCCTGAATTCTCTCCAGTGACAGTTTCTCGAGTGATTAAATTCACTGCCGTGTTATTCAGGCACAGCCTGGCTGTGGGGCTTTTCCTCCACCACAGGCTTGAGTGGTTTTTTTCTAAACCTTGAAAGCAGCTTTGTTTTGTTGTTTTTCTCCTCAAAGGATTTCCAGTCTGAGATTTAACATTCCTTACGTTTCAGATTTACATTTCTTCCGAGAAACACGGATTGTGTCGAGCAGGAGGGCACTCGCAGGAACACAAGGCTGCGAAGGCCAAACGTTGAATAAGACCGTCGTAACAACTGCTCACCGGCAGTTTTGACAGAGGGATGGCAAAAGGAAAAGGAGTCATTATAAAAGAACTGAAGTAATTCCTTCCTGCTACATTATTTGCATTTTTAATGTACACCAAGACAGGTCTTCTAGGGAGGTGTCCCATTCACTCTAACCCTCAGGCTTCATTCCACAGCTGATCAATCTTTCTTTTTTTTTTTTTCCCTCATGGTGTAACTTTCCAGCGAAACTTAAACATGTTTGTTTCATGGGAACGCAGTGATGTCATCCAACTGATAACTGAAGCACTCAAAGATCAACAGAATTATTCATAATATGCATTAATATTATTGTCAAAACTAAGTGCTTTGATCTCACCAAAACAATAATTAATTTTATTGGGATTGGCCTGCTTCCAATATTTTTTCCTCCTCAAAAAATTCATGAGAAATTTCGCTATTTCATCCGAGGCCAGGAGGAAAGGAAGCTTAAGTGTCAGAAATTCCCACAGAAGCAAAAATCTCATGTTATGACCCGGTCAGGCTCCCCTCTAGTATTCAACCACTCATTTATTATTGTTTCTTTCCAGTTGTCAGCTGCCTTCGCAGAAACAAAAGTGCTTTCTGCCACTGTGGTGAACTTGCTGACCTTGGTTTAGTGGCTCTGCCGTGTCTCGTGAAAGGTTACAGCATTAGCCCTTTTGGACATTCAAAGAGAAGAATTTGTAAAGAGGAAACTTTGCACATCTCGCAAGGTTGCTTTCGGGGATTTCATCATTTGAATGTTGCACATGTGAATCACTAATCGACTGCTCAGCCCAGGGGAACACGTACGACTCACATGCAAAATAAACCTTCCCAAATTTGTGTAAGACTAGTCAACCTTACAACTACTTATCAACTAAAAATTATTCTCAGGAAAAAAATACATGAACAGATACCTATTACCAGTGAGCCCTAATAAATAAAAGACAGTCAGAGAGGAATCTACTCAAAACAGGGAAATCACATACTGGGAAGAGAAGAAAGAACTAGTTTCATAGGTTCTAAATGTACTGTCCAAAAATCTCATTTTAATAGTCTACAGTAATAACAACAATCATCCTTGATTTCTGGAAAAATGAGCGAAGGCTGTAGGAACATGAGTGAAATAAAAGACCAGAGGGCAGTATTGTGGGGGGAAAAAACCCAAAACAACCCCAACCCCACACACCACTCTTTTCCACAGACAAAGGATCCTTCCCCACCGAGGACTGTTTCCCATACCTGCGTTGCAGCAGCTTGTGACAGCAGCGATGACAAACCGGCATCTCCCCCAGGCACATCTCTATTAGCTAAAGCAACTGTCTGAACAGTCTTCCCTACCCTGTCCTGCAGCTTGCACAGGGACAAAGAACTGCGCCACAACAGCTGGCACAGAGATGGAGGAGTGAGAACATGTGAAGACACCAAGGTCAGTGAAGAAGGAGAGGGGGGAGGATGAGCTCCAGGCACCGGAGCAGAGGGTCCCCCAGGTCATGGTGAAGCCCATGGTGAAGAGAGTTGTCCCCCTGCAGCCCATGGGCGGGGTGTAGATGTCCACCATGGGGCAGAGGACCCCACGCTGTGTGGGTGGATGCCTGAAGGGGCTGCAGCCCGTGGGAAGCCCGCATCGGAGCAAGTTGCTGCCAGAGCCTGTAGCCCGTGGAAGAGAGGAATGCCCAGGCTGGAGCAGGTTGGCTGGTGGGACTTTTGAGATGCTGCGGGGACTCACGCTGGAGCAGTTTCCCTGAAGGACTGCACCCCAGACTCACGAGGGGTGGGCTGCCCCTCGTGAGGTGTCTCACGTTGTGCAGTTTGTGATGAATTGCCCTTCGTGGGACGACTCATGTTGGAGAAGAGAGCGTGAAGCTTGTCTCCCGTGAGAGGAACCCCACAGTGGCCCTGGGGAAGAGTGAAGAGTCCTCCCCCAGAGAGAAGAAGAAGTGGCGGAATCAACATCGGATGAACTGACCGTAACCCCCATCCCTGTCCCCCTGCGCCGCTCGGGGGGTGGAGGCGGAGAAACCAGGATTGGAGTCAGCCCGGGAAGAAGCGGGGGATGGGAGAAGGTGTTATTTTTCCTTTTAAGATCTGGGGTATTTTTATTTCTCACTATTCTTCTCTGATTTGTTTTTTTTAATACTTTCCCCAAAATCCAGTCTGTTTTGCCTGGGATGGTAAATGCAAGTGATCTCCCTGTCCTTATCTCAAACCTTGAGCCCTTTGATGTATTTTCTCCCTGCCTAGCAGAGAAGGGGTGGTGAGAGAGCGGCTGTGTGGGTACCTGGCTACCAGCCACAGTCAAACCATGTCATGCTTCCGAGGCTTCCAGTCCATCCCAGTTCGGGCTGGGTTAGGGCCGTCAGTCCGACACGCACTCTGCCACTCGCTGCAGCGGGCTAGGGAGTGCCCACAGGAGTTAAGGCAAACCCCAGGGGCTTTTACCATCAGACAAATCAGTTTTGTCCTGGGGAATCTATGCACTGCTCACCGTGCTCCTTTTGAAAAGCGCCTCTTTACGCAGCAGTCGTAAATCCACGATGCCTGTGCAGTCCATTTCCAAGCCTATGAACTTGCTCTTTTAAAAATCTGCCAATTCTGCCTAGCTTACGCCAAGAATTTTATCTCATCTATTGATGCTGAGGACTTAACAGTCAAAGGATTTATTCATGTTGGTTATCATTATTCCAAAGAATGGTATTTTAAGATAACAAAATGTAATAAACTCGAGGGTGTTGGGTTTTTTTTTTTGTTTGGTTTGAGGTTTGTTTATGGTTGGGTTTCCTGATGTTGGTGGTTTTCGTTTGTTTGTTTGTTTGAAGAACTGTGGGACTTCCTGAAGCTACATTTTTATGTAGGTTTCTTCTTGATTGTAAAATCATCTCTTTGGTTACACAGTTACAGCCAAAGTTTATTTAAAAGTTACCAGGAAAGTTACCTGCAATTTGCACTGAGCCATCTTCTCCAAGAAGAATATTTCCTGCTTTCACATCCCTATAAAAAGAGAAAGCAACAATAAGTGGAAGTCCTTAAATCTTTCCTTCAACTCACAAAAATACTTTAAAAGGTTATTATTTCTTGTATTTTGTTTTCTTGCAATGCACCTCCTGCTTCCAATCATGCAGAACAGTAGGGACTTAACATCAATTTTAACTTTAGTAAGCAGACACTAAGTGGTATTTGTATGATTTATAACTAGTAGCATTTTAAGTACTATGCACAGAAAAAAAAAATTTTGAAAAACTTTCAGAAAGCACCTTGAAAAAATACAAGGAAAATGGTTTGTCCCAGGCTCTTGCGCTAGCTAAAAACGTGACAACAGACCCTAGCATTGATCCAATACTCACATATCCTTTTAAGGGGGTGAGACTTCAAGAGACAGTGACTAGATCTTGTCTCACTACTGCTCGGTGAATCCTTCACTTCCCCAGCCCCAGCCTTGCTGCCCTCCAGCACTGGGGGAGAATTCATGAGCTTCCTCCAGAAGTCAGTTTTGCCCCATACACAGGTGAAAATCCAGACAGGAGAAAAACCATTGTTTGCTCATGGCTTCATGAACTGAACCACATCACCAAGGGTCCGGTGAGCAGAGCTGGTACAACAGAGACGGTGAGAATGGGAATGTGTGGCCACTCAACTGTCCCGTGAAGCCTTGACCCTAGTGAAAACATCTCCTTGATTTTTTTTCCAAGCAAAGCCAACGAATGCATAAGAATGTCCAGCATGTGCTATGAAAGTTATTGTCCTATCCCCTTTCGACCCTCAAAAAAGCTCTGGTTTGTTAGGTTAACAGCAGCACTTCTCCATCCTTGAGGGGAACGCTACTTTCACTCCAAATCTGCTGTGAAGTTTTACAGTTTATTTCCACAGGCTGCTCCCCACGCAAAGGCAAAAGAAGCACCTCTCTAGCTGACACCCACATTGATCAGCAGGGCTGATCAGCTTGCAGGGGCTAGGAAACCACACAGACCCGCAGCACAGGCAGGTGCTGTCTCAAGAAAGGTTCCAA